ACGGGACAGGGGCCATGGGGAGGCTGCTCTGGGGCTGGAGACGGGACAGGGGCCATGGGGAGGCTGCTCTGGGGCTGGAGACACCGCAGTGTCCATGGGGAGGGATCCACACGGGCCACAGGCAGGGAATCCCTCCCGGGGCTCACGGGAAGGACCTCAGAGCTCATCTCCTTCCACCGACCTTCAACACCTTCCCCTGGCCCTGGTGGCTCCAAGCCCTGTCCAACCCGGCCCTGGACACTCCCAGGGATCCAGGGGCAGCCACAGCTGCTCTGGGAATTCCACCCCAGCCCCTCCCCACCCTCCCAGCCAATAATTCCTTCCCAATATCCTGGAGGTGGCACAGCCAGTGTCACCCAGCAGCGTCACCCAGCAGTGTCACCCCAGCAGTGTCATCTCGTGTGCCATGGCGCTCAGGTGGCACAGCCAGTGTCACCCAACAGTGTCCCCCAGCAGTGTCCCCCAGCAGTGTCACCCAGCAGTGTCACCCCAGCAGTGTCACCCCGTCTGTCCCCACCCCAGCAGTGTCACCTCCCATGCCATGGCTGGAGGTGGCACAGTCAGTGTCCCCCAGCAGTGTCACCCAACAGTGTCACCCCCTCTGTCTCCAGCCCAGCAGTGTCACCTCATGTGCCATGGTGCAGAGGTGCCACAGCCAGTGTCACCCAGCAGTGTCACCCCAGCAGTGTCATCTCGTGTGCCATGGTGCAGAGGTGGCACAGCCAGTGTCCCCCAGCAGTGTCATCCAACAGTGTCACCCCAGAAATGTCACCCCAGCAGTGTCAGCCCCTCTGTCCCCACCCCAGCAGTGTCACCCCAGCAGTGTCAGCCCCTCTGTCCCCACCCCAGCAGTGTCACCTCCCATGCCATGGCTGGAGGTGGCACAGTCAGTGTCCCCCAGCAGTGTCACCCCCTCTGTCTCCACCCCAGCAGTGTCACCTCATGTGCCATGGTGCAGAGGTGCCACAGCCAGTGTCACCCAACAGTGTCACCCAACAGTGTCTCTCACCCCAGCAGTGTCACCTCTGTGCCACAGCCCTGAGGTGGCACAGTCAGTGTCCCCCAGCAGTGTCACCCAACAGTGTCACCCCAGAAATGTCACCCCAGCAGTGTCACCCCAGCAGTGTCCCCCCTCTGTCCCCAGCCCAGCAGTGTCCCCCAGCAGTGTCACCTCGTGTGCCATGGCTCTGAGGCGGCCCAGCCAGTCCTCTGCCTGCTCCAGGATGGTGTCCAGGTTGTTCTCCTGGTGTTTGAGCCTCAGGGCCGCCTGCACCATCTGCTCCAGGTGGGAGCTGCGCAGCCGGAACAGCCGCTGGTCCAGGGCCGTGCTGCAGGGCCGGGCCAGCATGTCCGGGAGCTGCAGGCTGGGAGGGGACACAGGGGGTCACACACTGGGATGGGTTGGGATGGGACAGAGGGGGGTCACACGCTGGGATGGGCTGGGATTGGGACACAGGGGGGTCACACGCTGGGATGGGCTGGGATGGGGCAGAGGGGGGTCACACGCTGGGATGGGCTGGGATGGG